AAGAGTTTCGGGGATATGACGTCACCCTGTCTTACACCTCTCTGCAATTGGATAGGTTTCGTACTCTGGTTCTGTACTCGGATAGCCATCGTAGCCCTACTGTACAAGCACTTCAACACTTCGATATACCGACAGTCAACTTGGCACCGCTGAAGGGACTGCAGCACCGCCCAAATTTCGACGGAATCAAAGGCTTTCTCATAGTCCACATACGCCAGACATAGTGGCAAATTGTACTCTTCGGACTTCTGTACAATTTGCCGAAGGGTATGTATGTGGTCTATGGTGCTAAAGCCCTTTCGGAAACCGGCTTGTTCGGGAGGCTGGAAGTAACGTCAAGTCTGCGCGCGAGACGATTCGTAATGACTCTCGAAAACAGCACGTAGACGTGGCTCAGAAGGGAAATCGGTCTGTAGTTCTTCAAGAGAGCGTTGTCACCTTTCTTGAAGAACAAGACCACCGCACTTCTGCTCCACGCCTCCGGTGTAATGCCACCATGGAGGACGGAATTAAAGAGCTTCTGAAGGACTTCAAGTACCGGTTTTCCACCCGCTTTCAGAAGCTCCGCTGTAATTCCATCCTCGCCTGGGGCCTTACCGTTTTTAAGGTGCTGGAGAGCCATTCTAATCTCGCTCAGACTGACGTCCGGGATATCTTCGGAATAGTGTCGGATGAGACTCGCTCTTGGATCGTTACTCACACTTGCGTGTGGCTCCAACGATGACGTGTACAGCTGCCCATAGAACCTCTCAATCTCACTCAAAATCTCAGGTGTCCCGGAAACGATGCTGCCACACTCTGTCTTCAGCTTTGACAGTTGGCGCTTTCTGGCAGACAGATCTCTGGCAAAGACTTTGGAGCCTTGGTTCCGCTCGATCGCTTCTTCAATACGAGCTGTATTGAAGTTGCGTAAGTCCCGCCGCATGCATTTGGAGATCTGTCTGTTCAGATGCCTGTATGCTGTCAAGTCTGTTGAAGAATGTAGCTTCATCTCCCGTCTAACAGCCATGAGATTAAGAGTGTGATCGGAGAGTTTTTGTGTTCTTCTGCGGCGGGTCTTGCAGAACTTAGCTCCGACCGCATGGACAGTTTCCACGAGCTTGTCATTCATATCGTCCACTTCATTGCAGTCTTCTAGGCACTGAAAACGGTTTTGTAACTCGAGCTGAAAGGTCTCGGGACTTTGGAACAGAGCACGAGGGGGACGGAGCGTTGACTTCATTAGACGAGACCTCTCCAACTTAACGTTTAGGTTCAGTGTGCCTCTAACCATTCGGTGATCGCTACCAGTTTTCACCCTCGCGATCACGGAGACATCACTGAACAGTTGTCGTCTGGTCGTCATAATGAAGTCAATCTCATTTTTTGTCGAACCGTCGGGGCTCGACCAGGTCCACTTCCTGTGGGGCCGCTTCTGGAAGAAAGAGTTCATCATAAAGAGTCCCTCTTTCTCCATGAAGTCGGCCAGCTGCTGGCCCCTTGGGTTCCGTTGCCCTATTCCAAATTTCCCTACTTTCAGCTCACCGTTCTCTCTTGTGCCTAGTTTTGCATTGAAGTCTCCCATTAACACCGTATATTGGGTTTTGGAGGAATGCATGGCTCTATTAAGGTTGAATCTCAATTAAGGTTGAATTTACATTAATGTATATTTATTTCAATTAGAATTACGTCAAAACAATTGGTGACAGTTTTAGAGAACTTTTCCATGGGATTATGTGTCTAGTTTTTAATTAGTGATCTATGGATACTTATAAGAAAAAAACTATTTTTGTCTGTCTGTTGGTTCCGGTTATCTCCAAAAGGGCTGGATCGATTTTGACGAGACTTCCACTGGCAGATAGCTGATGTTATAAGGAGTAACTAAGGCTGCTTTTATTTCATAAAAAAATTGGGTTTCGCGCAAAAAATTAAATCTATGAAATTATACGTGGTAGAGTCTGGCTGCAGCTATATTAGTAGTAGTAGTAACTCACAGAATACCAGCGTAAAATAGCAGCCTAATACTGCTGTGTTTCGTATGGTGAGTGTAGGGAACCGGAGACCCTTTTTACTGGAAAAGGGGCATTCCATCTTAGTCCCCTCGGGTGACGAAGCATCTGCATTTTGATTCTTTATTGGGGATAGATGTAGAGATGTAGATGTCTATGGGTCACAGCTACCCGTTTGTTACCCTATCCTATAAAAAAAATCTAATCGGAATGAATTACGCGCGGACGAAGTCGCGGGGAATAATAGCTAGTATTAAATATTAAACGGAGCAATCAAATATCTGATATTAAATTTTAATATCAGATATTTGATGTTTCATATATTTGTATATTTTATTAAAACCTATAAACACGATAGCTATTGAGACTGATCCAATAATAGTCTATTTATGATGTTCTTGTAGGTGGTATGCAATAATCGTTTTAAGGCCCGGTAACGACGCGCTCCCTAGTTATTTGTATGGAGATTGCTTGGGTAATAACTTCCTATACTGTTGACACTTTAGTCCCGTTGATATATTCATAATGTCTCACGATTCAGATGCGTAGAACGAAAATTAAATATACCTATCTAAATAACATACATAACATACAAATAAATAAAATTGAAGTGTCTGTCTGTAATGTCAAAATTACAGCTTTTTACCAAATGCATATGAAACTTTCTACGGTACTAATAACAAAAAAAAAATTAAAGTTTTTGTCTGTCTGTCTGTTTGTTCCGGTTAATCTCTGAAACGGCTGGACCGATTTTGACGGGATTTTAACTGGCAGATAGCTGATATCACAAGGAGTAACTTAGACTACTTTTATTTTAGAAAAATGATTAGGGTGCCGCGCAAAAAAAATTAACCCCAAATAACACGCGAGCGAATTTGCGGTATTATATTTCTGTCATTTTATTAAAAATGACAAAAAAGACGGTACCTTTTTGAGGACTTTCTTTCATCGTTTTTTCTTCGGGCAGAGGAACCTCACAACAGAATAAATAAGTACAGAAGTTGCACTCTTTTGATGTTGAGTGCTTGCCGACGTTTTAATAGTTTACATAGTTATTATTAATCAGATAAATCGCGCACGCAAGCTAAATAAAACTTTGTCACTGCGCGCGAGGGTCCGTATTATTTTGTATCTTTTCTCCTTACTACGTCACAACGGACTTTCCGTGGTTGCTAAGGGCTGTTAATAAAGAGTAATAAAATACATTGTGAAATGGTAAGTTACTTAGGTAAAGTACCTATGAAGACTATAATCGACCTTATCTACTATGTGAGTTCTGTGATGCCCAACGCATGCAACTTGCAAGGCCATTCGTCGGGAATCGCGATGCTTGGTTCGTAATTCGTATAGGTAGACAGCGTAAACAACAAATAAACCCGAAATACGATTCCTAACAGAAATATGATGGTAATCTAATTAGTTGAAAAATCTTGTAAACAAAGTTTTAATTTCAGTATTTTGTGTTATTATAATTTAAATATTTTAATTACAAAGACGCGTATAGGTATGTAAGTAGCTAGGTACTTGGGTAGTGAAGTGAAGTTTTGTAATAAAGTACTTAGGTATTACTTCTGTAGTTAAATTATTACTTAATTATTTTTCGCTACCTAATACCTATCTAACAAAAAAATGAAATAAATTTACCATTCATTATCCTTCGGTAACTCAAAAAACTATATATCTGAATCCTTTTGATTGCTCATTAAGCATCCATTCCCGCAACAATTATAGTAGGAAAGGCGTTTTGCCAACAGGGGCGTAGCTACCGCCGTATCAGCCGTATCAATGATACGGGGCCCCCGGGCTACAGAGGCCCCGAACTTACTCGTATGTAAGCAAAAATTCTAAGGACTTCTATGGGACAGGATATTGGTTTGAATTGTTTGGCTAGCTTAGTTCCTAGGAGTATTAATTGCAAGTAATAACTTATATACAATATATAATTATTTTAATTCAATGCGAGAGTTTTTGTTCCTTTTGTGAAAAATCTTTACCCTTCATTTGGGCCCCCCGACCAATTTTGATACAGGGCCCCCTCTAAGGCACGCTACTCCACTGTTTGCCAATATAATTTTTCAAATAGATAGGTAATATACATACATATTATTTTTAAATTACATTAAAACTTTTTCAACTATTTTATCCTACAATTAAATATACTAAACACTAAACAAAAAGTAATTTGACGAGTATTTCAACTAGTAAAAAATTATTTACGTAAACAGCGTTAAAAAACTTTAACATTCAGTCGCCTAGAACGCGCTAGCCCCGACTGAGAACTACCCCTGGGGCAGCCCGCGATTGTAGGTAATTATTTCACGCAGGTAGCAAGAATGACAGAGGCCTGACCTCACTTGGAAGCGACAGTAGATTAAGAAAAATGTTAAACGAAATTTGAATTTCTTATGTCGAAAAAAAAAACAATTGGTTTTCATTTTCATTTCTTTTCATTCATTTGATTTCTTTATTTCATTTAAATTCAAGTGATTTAAAATAAAAATGTTCTCCAGACAAAATTTTGGTCACAGCGGCCAGTCGCAAATCAAAGGAGACTAGCCACCTGCGCAGGACATGGTTATAGTGCACGAGTGTGTGCGCAAAAACAGTGCACCTGTTTCCTCTCTGTCATTCTCATGACGGAATAGTCCGATGAGGCGACAGAGGTTGAAATACCGCCAACTTCCTGACAAAGGGGCACACAGAAACTGAGACCCACGTTACTGGAAACGAGACATTCCATCTTAGTCCTTAGGGTTGAAAACATATCTGAATTTTGATTCTTAATCGAGGATAAGTGTAGATGTCTATGGGCTACAGCATCCACTTCCATCAGGTGGATTGTGTGCTCTTCTGTCACTCCGATCCTATGAATAAAAAAACATAGTCCACCTTATGGTAGGTGGATGCTGCAGCCCCTAGCTCTACCACGGAAAGATCTATCTATATCTATCTCTTGTACTTTTGTTTGTTAATATACTAAATTATTCTTTAACAAACTTTAAATTGTTTCAGAATGCAGTTGTTGCGTAATGATGCTACGGTATGTATCAATAATATTACCTATATAATTTTTATTTCTACTATTTATCGCGTTATCTTAATTTGAAATCGTAGAAGATGGTTTAATATTCATATGTATAATTTTGTTTGTTTATATTTACAAAACAATAAGAATACTAAGTTCAGTTTGTTATGTTAAATTATCAAATGAATGTGTCAATGCACATTATGACGTGTAATACATAAATAGAATCCCGTTCGGGCACAGCAGAACGTTTATTCCACATTCGTCGTCCCTAAATCATACTCACCTCTGGATCAAACAAATCTCGAGTTACTGGTTACAGCGACGACTCACTTTGCATGCGGTAGCGGGCGACCATGTCTGTACGGTCGCGGTCGTGCCGCACGCCTGCATAATGCGCGCAGTAGACACGCTCGCGACCTATTTTTTTGCTGTACCTGTCTCGGATGATTTTTGAATTGAACTTGTCTTCATTTCATTGTCAACAGTATTTTATTATAAGCGTTTGAAAGTAATAATACATTATTGTACTAAGTCAACGCTATTGTGAATGGACCTTATTATGTTATCTATCCTAATACCTATTGTTACGGCCTACGGCTGCTCTCTTAAAGGATCAGACCTTCAGGGGCTCATGAGCTGAAGACCTCTCGAGCAGACGTAGGTCGGGCCTCCTAAGGCCACGTGGAATCTCTCTAATTACACTAAAATATATGGGGGAGCGTTATACTACGGCCAGTCGACCGGAAGGAATTTGGCGGAGTTCACTTACCTCGATCCAAGACGACTGGTCCCTCCGGAGTCGGTCAGGTCGCATGTAGTTGTGTAGTGCAAGGGAAAGAATGGTGATGTGGTGTGTATCTGGGTGTGACTGATGGTGATTAAACCTGGACCTTAGCCGTCGGCAGCAGCCCGAGCGTCGACACCGCTCCAATTTGAGGGGGCCTTTCGAGGTTATCCACAGTCACTTTCTTGGTTCACCACGATGACAGTCACTTAACTCTATCGTACGATTAACTAGCTTACAGAAGCCACTAACTATCGCGGGGTATTAGGTTACCGCACAAAACACGCCCGGAGTTTCCAGGCCAAAGGTCACCACCGTTCCGCGTGGCAACAGTTCCAAATACCGAGGCCGCACCAGCTCACATTGTCGAATGCACCCATACAGATTCCGAGTCGGACCCAATAAGTCCCGGGAAAGGCTATCCAAACAGGGAATGCGCGTCACAATTCCCAGACAGGACATTCACCAGACGCCCCAACCACTCCGCGGTTCCCGCACAAAATTAACAGCGTGCAAACATTAGCACATCTGGCAGATGACTGACTCGCTTGCGACCCGCGCGCCACTGCCACGATCGGAAGAACTTCAAACCGGAATCGCGCCGAGCCGAGTGACATCTGGTGTCGATTCCGACAACAGAGTTTTGCGCGAACAAACCCCCGTCCCGGACATAAGGATTTAGGTCCGCGAGCAAACCGGTCAGCGGGACAAGGTCGAGACTGCAAGTTGCAAGACCGAATCTACAACCAAACTAGGCCACCTTAGGCAATCCATTAGGTCTTGCAACCCTAATCAACGCCTCAAAGATATCCCTAATGTGGCAAGCCGGAGGGTCAGCCTCCACTGGATGCCCCTCCTGGGCATCGCAGCACTTTAATAAGTCCTGTACTGGACAGAAGTCCGACGACCTCTTTCAAACACCTATCTGTGCCCCTATGATTAGTTCCGCAATCCGACCGGATCAGCTCTGCAAACAGCGACGCTACACGAAGTTGCCCCGACAAATTTTGTGTCAGCAGTTGCTTCAGTGCAGAGCGCACCCACAAATTCCACATGAACGTCGTCTGTGGAGAGCCAAACGAAACGCACAGATAGTCCCTAGTATGAATTTTCAACAAGTAGGCCTAGCCAGGCCACCCACCATAGTATCATTTACTAAAATAGTGCGGCAGCTGATTTCAATCTGATAATCTCCAAAACTAGCTAGCCTGTTAGGCAAGTAGTCCCATGCTCATATTTCAACTAATTTTTCAAAAGCATCAATGTTCAACTACAGAATTAATTCAACCAAATTAATCACCGATGCGCATAGGTCAACTTGCAAATTAAACAAAACAATAACGTAAGGGACAGCCCTACTTCTTCGCAAAGCAAAATGGTTAAACACTATCATAAACATAAACATAATTTATCAAATAGTGCGCCATTCAATTTCAGATGAATTCAAATTTTCCTTTCAGTAAACAGACGCAACAATCAAATACAGTGATTAAATATATGTACAAAACACATGCAGTAGCATTTAAAGGAGTAGATTAAATTTAATTCTTTTAATTTAAACCGCTACAAATAGGAAAATTTCGCGGAAAGCCCAAAGCAATTTTTAATTTTAATTCAAGTATTTTTTTTGACTAAGTGCTCGACCAAACCAAATCTAATACCCCTTGACAGCGTGATTCAACGCTCCAGGGGGGCCCTAATCTTCCCACCACCAAGGGGAGGCCACATGGCGTGAACCCGAGATAAATAGAGCACAACCTCTAACAGTTGCCACTCGGGTTGTACGCCTTCACTGAGGCCGTCGGCAACAGAACATTTTGACAAGTGGACTGTTGACGGCTTAAGGCTCAGTGGAGGCAGCCGTGGTGGGAGCTAAGGCGGCAGCTAGACAGGGCCGCCTCCATCAAATGGGGAACAGTGGTACACCAGTCGCGGCCACTCAGCTAACGGGAGTGAGAAGGGTCCAGCGGACCGATAAGTGGCCGTGAAGTTCCTCTCCACACGCTGAGGGGGGGTGATGACACCCCCGCCCCTGGGGGAATTACCCCCCGACTGGTCGGGGGAGGGGCCCCTTTCAAACTTAGGGGCCTGATGGCTGGCCGGCGGGCGCCGAGAGTCGCCCGGCAGAGGGCGTGGCTGAGCGCCCCCGCCCGTGGGGGTCGAGGGCCTGGCAGAGCCCCGAGAGGAGACGCCGTTCGCACCCAGGCACAAAACGGCATGGTGATTGCCCTGGCAATGCAGACAGGGCCGTCGATACGGACAGTCTCGCTGGAGATGCACTCCAAGACATGACCAGCACCAGCGGCGCTCCTTGGCGATAGTTCGCCTCGCAGGAACCGGCTTACCTAATAATTTCGGGCACAACGTTACCCGGTGATCAGATGCTCGACAATAGGAGCAGGGGGAGGTTGACGACGACTTGCCTGGCGGGTTCAGCCTCTCACTGGGCACGTCTCGTAAGTCGTCAACGGTGCCCGCCGCGTTCTCGATCTGCCGGCACTGCTCCTCTAAAAACCGCAGCAGGTCATAGAAGGGCGGAATATAGGAGGCCTCGTCCCCGCCGCACCTCTCCTCAAAATGGATTCGAAGGTCGAGAGGTAGACGGGACAGCACTATGCGGAGCAACAAAAAGGCCCATTCGCCCACTGGTAAACCCAGCCGCCTCAACGTATTACAGGCCACCAAGACTGGATCCAACAGGTCCGGACGCAGTCTGGCCCGGTCACTAAGCAGCGGGAGGCTTAGAAGCTGCTTAACATGCTCGTCTGCAATTCGCCGGACGTTGGCGTATCTTCTGGCTAGGAGGTCCCGAGCAGTCTGGTAGGCGTCGTCCGACAATTTCAAGTGGCCGACGACGCCCAGGGCCTCCCCCTCCAGTGAGGCCAGGAGGTACGCCATCTTTTGTCTCGGGGTCAAGTCACTCCGGGCGTCCACTAGGCTGTCGAAAAGACCAACGAAGGTCAGCCATTCGGAAAGGACCCCGGAGAACTTTGGCAGGTCCAGAGTTGGGAGTCGTCCCAACAGCTCCGGCTGAAGCTGCTTCAGAGAGGACTCGGGCAGGTTACTCATCCGAGCTTCACGCGCCTCCTCGGCATACCTGCCTTCAGCCTCGATCAACTCGTCCGTGAGCCACAAGAACTGCTCATAGTCCGCAAAGCAAGAGTCCAGGACTCCCTTCTCCACATCCGAATCCTCGAGCTCAGCGTAAGCCTCCTCCACTGCGGCCCTTCGAGCATCCACCTGCTCGAACCGCTTCATCAAGTTATGGACCCTATCCGGTCGACCTATCAAAGCATGGGCGCTTGTGGCCCAGCGTAGCTCAGTCCGCAAACAACGGATCAGTAGCTTGGGCGATGTCATCACTATTAAATACAAATTACGACGCGGCTCGAGCACAAATTACAAAGATAACAAAAAAAAAAAAAAAATATACCAAAAAATTAACAGTTAATAAATGCAGTTCCTATCAAATAGCGTTGAATAGAAATTACACAAATACGAATTACTACGTATCCACCAAATACAAGTTAGCTCAAAAGAAAAGACACAATCAAATTAACAAATAACAAATACTAGTGCGATGAAATCAAGTTAAACTCAAAGTACGCAAATACAATTACTACTCCTTAGTTCAAATACAAACTACAGTACAAACGAAGATACACATCACGGTCGATCAACAAAAATGCCTAGCTCGGAAATCGAACCTTCGATAAGTAATCCACTACAACTATCCGACAACGATAATTAACCGATTACGTAAAAATAACCATCTACCTACATGACGTATATCTCTAGAAAAACTCCCGCTTGCACAACCTAGGGCGCGGCTTTTCAAATTACCCTCTAACCAAAAAAAAGGCAAGCAACAAAGCAACAAAGGAAAATAATTCTATTATTACGTACAAAAAAAATATTTTTACGTATTACGGACGGGCGTGATTGTAGATGCAAATTAAACCAATCACACCAACGCTCCCTGCCACCAAAATTGTTTAATGTTTATCAAACACTATAGTCGGGATCGACCGGGAATCGAACCCGGAACCACGCTCTGCTACCAGATTGTTACGGCCTACGGCTGCTCTCTTAAAGGATCAGACCTTCAGGGGCTCATGAGCTGAAGACCTCTCGAGCAGACGTAGGTCGGGCCTCCTAAGGCCACGTGGAATCTCTCTAATTACACTAAAATATATGGGGGAGCGTTATACTACGGCCAGTCGACCGGAAGGAATTTGGCGGAGTTCACTTACCTCGATCCAAGACGACTGGTCCCTCCGGAGTCGGTCAGGTCGCATGTAGTTGTGTAGTGCAAGGGAAAGAATGGTGATGTGGTGTGTATCTGGGTGTGACTGATGGTGATTAAACCTGGACCTTAGCCGTCGGCAGCAGCCCGAGCGTCGACACCGCTCCAATTTGAGGGGGCCTTTCGAGGTTATCCACAGTCACTTTCTTGGTTCACCACGATGACAGTCACTTAACTCTATCGTACGATTAACTAGCTTACAGAAGCCACTAACTATCGCGGGGTATTAGGTTACCGCACAAAACACGCCCGGAGTTTCCAGGCCAAAGGTCACCACCGTTCCGCGTGGCAACAGTTCCAAATACCGAGGCCGCACCAGCTCACATTGTTGAATGCACCCATACAGATTCCGAGTCGGACCCAATAAGTCCCGGGAAAGGCTATCCAAACAGGGAATGCGCGTCACAATTCCCAGACAGGACATTCACCAGACGCCCCAACCACTCCGCGGTTCCCGCACAAAATTAACAGCGTGCAAACATTAGCACATCTGGCAGATGACTGACTCGCTTGCGACCCGCGCGCCACTGCCACGATCGGAAGAACTTCAAACCGGAATCGCGCCGAGCCGAGTGACATCTGGTGTCGATTCCGACAACAGAGTTTTGCGCGAACACCTATATTGAACACGCTCTTATTGAGCACTTTGACCTTACGTCGTCCAAGAATGCTGCAATGAAAATGAGACAAAATCACAGTTGATGGTCGTTTTGAAACCGCGGCAGTCGATTAAAATCTATGAACATAGGCCTTACTCATAGAAAGTATCATAGGGTGGATAAAATTGCCGTCATAGTTACCACGGTTGGCAAGCTGGTTGGCAACCGTAGTATTTGTTTTATTATTGGTTATGGCCATCTCCTGGTTTTTTTTACTCTGTTGTCTTTTACGACCACTATGGGACGGTATGAGGTAGTTTCTAAGCCGACACTACACTATAATATGATCATTTTGAAATTCGACACTACACTTGGGCCCGCGGCGGACCAAGGCCAGCCAAAGACGGCGGGTGTTTGGCTCACAACTGATAACTATTTTATTAATAAGTAAAAAACTATAAATAAATAAAAATATTAAATAAATATTAATAAATTAATATAATATTTTAACGTGGTAGAGCCATGTGGCAGCCAGCGTAAAACAGCAGCTTAACACTGCTGTGTTTCGTATGGTGAGTGTAGAGAACCGGACCTTTTTACTGGAATAGACGCATTCCATCTTTGTCCTCACGGGTGAGAACGCTATTTTACTCTGGTATTTTGTGAGAGCGAGGTCCTTCCCCGGTCGAGCCGACCCATTCGTGCTACAACTATACTATTAATATAGCTGCAGCATAATGGCTCTATCACGTAAAATTGTCGACACTGATATATCTATAGTTAGTAGTTTTAGATTTTAGTCAAGTTTTAAAATGTTTTTTAAATACGCCCAGTGGATCTACATCTACAGCGATGCCAAATGTTAAGTTTCTGGGTAACCTAGAAGTGGCCTTGGTTTTCAATGAATGAGAATGGCAATTTTTAGGCCTTATTATTTCAAAAAGGGTTAGTTTCTATTTACTTAAGGGGGTCTTTAGTTTGAGTTATAGATCAAATGTATCTCAGAATGGTTCGTGTAAATAATAAATAATGTCCCCCAGACTGAATTTTGATGTCGGCGGCCCGTCTCCACCAATTCAAGTCGAGACATCGTCGCAGGTCATGATTGTATTGCCCGAGTGTATGCGCAAGCACAGGTACAATCTTTATTCAAGCATAGGACTAACGGCTTTACGTGCTTTCTGAGGCACGGGGGTGAAACACCGCCAACTTTCTGACCTCGATCTGCTACTGAGTATTTCGTAACAGAAAAACCCCATATCTCATTTTGGCCCGACCCGGCATTTGAACCGCTTTTACAACCAATAAACCAACAAGTCAGTATATATACGAGTACAACATAGACGACGGGTCATTTTTCTTTCGCGAACTTGCCTGATACACTTCAGTGTGTCTATATCTCTTAGACAAGCAAGTTTCTTCACGATGTTTTGCTTCACCGCCTAGCACGTGGTCAGCACTCAAAATTGCAATTAAAATTTGCTATGATATGTTGCTTTTGTACCGTGAAATTTACAGCTAGCCGAGAAGCCGTGGTAGCTCTTAGGCTAAGCCTAAGAGCTACCACGGCTTCTCGTTTTTTTTAAATAAAACATATTATTGTTACTATTTTACATAATCGCTATTTAGGGACTATGAGGATGTCATAATCCGCAAGAATACACCCATAGCCTTTTTTCTTTGGGTTAGTTGAAGTTGACATGTTTCATCAGTTAGACTCCAACTTGGTTGGTCACTCTTTTGTATTAAATAATCTTATTGTTGTTAAACCAAGATGAACCATTATCATCGTGCATTGTATTTATAGCGTTCAGTTTGCTTTACGGATTGGATCTAATATAACAAATGGTAGGGGTCGCCGTATGTGCCTTAGCTGTTCGTAATAACGGTAGCGGAATAATGCTCAATACGGGTTTGTTTTAGAAATTGCGAGGTTGTTGCAGTCGTTGCATTTGTGCGCATCTTTCTCGTTTCCCGATTAATGCAACGGAAATTGTGATCAATTCCACTGTTTGCCAGAATTTGCATTGTGTGTAGCGAGAGAAATTGACATAGTCGTAGAGTAAGATTTTAATTTTTTACTCTCTTAATAAAAGAAGGAGGTTAATTATTCGAGTGTCCTTTATCATTTTAGTGATAGAAAATGTGTGAGGTTAGTGAATCGGTATTGCTGAATTTAAATCGAAAAGTATCCATTCGTCTACTTTGAAGTAGGTATAGCTACTTTTTGAGTCTTGTATATATATACATGAACTAAAATGGATAATAATGGAAGTCAGTATTAATAAGAGAAAACAAAAATATATTATCAATCAAATGGGCGTTTTTAGCTTGTGAGCTGTTTAGTCAAAAAAATTTTTTTTGGTCGTATAGTAGGTTATCAGAAACAAAAACCTTAACACAAATGCATTGGGTGAGCATCATGAAATGAAAAGGAGCCTAACCAGTGAACATAACAGTATCTTTTAAAAAAAAAAACTAATAAAATTCAAACTTATAAACGTTGGAGTTGGATTAACGATCATTCGAATTGAATCCGTTATGCAACTCTTAGAAAGCTTTAACAGCAATTCGAGAAATTATAGACTTGATAGCAAATGAACATTGTTTATTTCTCGTATTTACACCGCCCGTTGGTCCGGCCCCGCCCCCCGGACACACCTGCGATATACACTCTGTTATCAATGTAGCACGATGTTTCGAATGATATTCATCTTTTTAGATGTTTCAAATGCATTCGTGCAATTCTGTTATAAATAGCTATGGTTGTGTTAATGTTATATATTTTAAGACATACTTTTATTACTTTAACTTATACAGAGCTTGCAATCACTTTGAGGAAATCTATGGGGGAGGCCTATCTTCAGCAGTGAACTTTAATAGGCTGTAATGGATGGATGGATGAATGGATATTCTGGATATTGCACACATAATCAATGGCGTGGCCGTTTTATTTAAAATACGAAATATATAATATAAAAATATTGCAATAGGAATGTAATGAAAACAACATTATACTCGTATATACCATTCTTCTCAATTCGTCTCGTTGATATCATAAAACTTTCTTAAGGAAAAGAGAAACAGGAAAATCGTGCAAATTCCTACAGTTGGCCAAATAACATTCAAAAAATCAGATATTAAGGCGACAAGTACTGTTATTTTATTACCATTGCGTCTGCCAAGAGTGACAGCTGCGACAAATCTCCCAGTTTGGAATTTCTAACGTTGGTGGCGTCCAGTTTGTTAATAATTTAACAAATGAATGTATAAAATATATAATGTAATGTAACAAAATATTTCTCTTCACGTATACGTGTGTATGCCACAGAATGCGTGATTTTTGGTTAGTTAGGAATAAGTTGGTTGAGCAAGTCTTGTTTACAAATGAACTGTAAACAAGAAACATGTTTTAATTGAGATTTGTAAGTATCCGCACAAAGTATGGCCCGCCGCACAGCAATTGGTAAATCAGCACTTATTTGCGATTCCAGTGGA